CCACCCCCGCCCCCCGCCCGGCCTCCCCGACTACCAGCAGGTTAGATCCAGGAGGGGCGCCCGCCCAAGCAGGGTGGTTCTGCGCAGCGCACGCATCCCCCCAGCATCGGGCCACTTTGGTCGCCCCGGGGTACCTCGGGAACGGCCCAGCGGGCAGACTGCGCCCGGCCAAGCGGCCACAAGGTACTCCAACTGCGGGGTCACACTGCGGGTACACAGCGTCCTCCTATCCCCTCTACCAACCCTCAGTCCCCACTCAGAACGGGCAAAATTGTCACCCAGCAGGGAACGTGGGAATCCCTTGGAGGGGCAAAGTTAACGGCGGGGCGCAGAGTGCTGAAGCGCGCGGGTCAGAGATGAGAGCGTCCAGGCGCGGGATCTCGAGCTCCGCCGCACATCCCCGAGCGGCTGCAAACCCGCCGCAAACGCCACGCGGCCCGAGGACTCTCTTACCCGAAGTGTCCCACAGGCTCAACTCTATTCTTTGTGTGTCGATTTCAAAACTGGCCGTGTAATTCTCGAACACTGTAGGGACGTAATTCTGAACAAACAAAATGGGCAAGGAAAAAAGGAAAGAGGGCAAAGAGGTTAGCTTAAAATGCACGGCACCGGCAGACATCCTCTGAAAATCGCCTCCTCACTCCCCAATTAAAACACACACACATACACACACACACACACACACGCACATGCAACTAAACTCGAGGACACTTTCCAAAACCCCTTTCTGAGCCTCATCCGCCCCACCCCGCTCTCGGAGACGTGTTGACCCAAATCTCCCAACCCTCGGTTCTGCACACATGAAAAGAACAAGTTTCGGAAGCTGTACAGCCGAATGCGCCAGTGCGTCCCAATCCCTAAACGCTTCCAGCCCACTTTCCCTTTCCTAGCTGACTAACCAGGGGGAAAGTAGTTAGGGGTGAGAAAGACTACTTTAAAAAGAAAAAAACGGGTGAAGGAGGGGATGTAGGAGAAAGCCCACCCCGAGATGGGGATTCCGCGGGCCGCCCCCTCCTTGAAGCCCCAACCGACCATACTCACCTCGGGGAAGCAGTCCTTGGCGAACACATGCAGCAGCGCGGTTTTCCCACACTGACTGTCTCCCACCACTACTATCTTGCATTTCACGTTCTGATTAGAATCCATGATAGATTTACTGGATAATTTCTGGTTGGCTCTTCTCTCCTTCATTGATCTTGCCTTATTTTCTCTTGGAACAGGAATTTTCTCTTAAGAGGAAAAAAATATATATCTATGATTTCTCTCTCTATAAAAAGCTGATATAAAAATAAATCGCAAGGCTGGTGGGAACCCCTGAGGCGTAGCGCAGACGAGGAGGGGAGCGAGAGAAGCAGTCTCGTTACTCCCCTCCAACAAGTTTCATGCTTGACTCCACACCTACCCTCCCCAGTCCAGTTCCGAACCGACTGCTTTGTTTCACGCTCTCTGCGCGGCTTTATACGCCCGGTCTTCCAATCCTCTTCTTTCTCAATGAGAGAAGGAAACTGGCCCGCCTCCTCCCCTTTTATGGAGCCTGGGAGCGAGCGCTGCCGCGTTACTTGCAGAAAATGCAAACAGTGCGCCCTCTAGGGTGAGCAAGAGAGAGCTATTTCCAGTCCAAGGCTCTGGCACAGTTTGGAGACCCGCAAGGACGCTTTGCTGATGGGTGGGAACCATACAAGTCCAGGATGAGGTGGGAAACTGAAAGTCTGGGCATACTGATCTTTCAGAGAAGTCCTTTAAAAATATTTTAATGGGAATCGATCTACAGAAGCCTCACGAAAATTTGTGAGAGCAAAAACAGTTTCCACTTGAGTTAAAACAGCAAGTTGTAAGATGTAGGAAGAAAATCTTGGGTGGGGAAGAGTCAATCGGTTGTATTTTTTAAAAATTGTATCAGATATATAGGCCGTGGAACAATATCTAAGCCAGGTTATTACAGTAGAGGGAACTGCCTTGCCTGGATCACAGTAATGGACTTGTGAAATCTGCCAGTTCAAATCACTCAGGAGGGAGTGAAAAGGCTTTGAAGGGTGAATGGGGGAGGTGGGAGGGAGAAGAAAGAAAAGTGGAAAACACTCACAACCGAGTGACAGAAGCCATTGGAAATTCAAACCCACTGCACCAGGGATCCGAATACACAAGAGCAGCCCAGATGCTCCATTTCAGTGACGAAAGGAGGAGGTGGGATTCTGATACTACCTTTTAATTCCTTTATCTTTAATTCCTTTATCCCTGGAATCAAAGCACCCAGAAGTCACAAATATTCTAAGCTGAAAAATGCAGATACTCCCCCTCCCTTCCCAAAAGAATCTTAGAGAGGACTAGAAATGGTCCCGGCATTTATTTTCTTTCCTATGAGAAACCCTTCCTTTCTTGTCTTTATATCCTGTACCCCTAATGCTTAAGAGGTTTCTATTATTAAATTGCATTGAGAACATGAATCAATACCATTTTATTGGTTCCTGTATGGAAACTTCTGGGCTTGTAAATGAAAAAGAGGTGAGGTGAGAAAAAGTTCAGTATGGTGGGTGAAATGGAATAATGAAGGGTGGTTAAAAAGCTGTGATGAAAGGGCTTAGGTGGCCTGTCCCATGAATCCTCAGGGGTCTCGGGATCATCTCCTCTTCCTTTCAGGAGCTGAGAGCCCTGGAGTCCCCAAAAGGAGGACCCTGACTTGGACTCAATCTGTGGGGTTATGTTTACACAGGTAGCTGGCCCTGCTGGGGTTCCTAGAGCAGCATTTACCAAAGTTTATTCTGTAGAGCTTTAGTCCTCTCCTCACAAATAGGTTCCAATTAGTGAGGGAAGCCCCACACTCCATGTCATCCCTTGGAGATTTACCAATACCACAGCAGTTGTTATCAAGTATAACTGAGCTCCATAGGCTGATTTTTTGAAAATAGATTGCTAGGCCTTTCTTCCAAGGACCCTGTGGGTGGACTTCGACCTCCAACCTTTTGGTTAGCAGTGAGTGTGTGAACCATTTGCACCACCCAAAGACATGTTACAAACACTAGAACGTCCTATAGAAAAGTAGCATACTTAACATAGTTTAACCGAGCATTTCCCAAATCTATTTAAACACAGGAAACTTTTATTACATTGTTTATTTCATTGGCTGTTTCCTTGCTTGCTTGTTTATTTGAGAAGCAACAGGCTTAGTGGTTGGAGGCTGAAATCACAGAGAGGTGGATTTCTGTCATGAACTTCACCTTTCTAGTTGTGTAACCTTGGCTGAGTTAGTTAACATCTCAAAGCCTCAATCTCATCATCTGAAAAATAGTCATAATAGTAATTATGAGGAAATGCAGGCGAAGTTTGCAGAACAGTCCCTAGCACAATAAAGAGGCCTCGAACTATGTTATAATTTGCATGTAACTCTTATTTGCACTTCTCAAAATAATTGAACATACCTTGATAAATGCTCATTAGTGGACTCACTAATTGGAACTGGGGGACAGGTCCACCCTGTCTTTTCTGATTTTTAACTTAGGAAGTTGCCCTTTTCCAGAGGTATGATTCCATATTACACAGTCCTGAATTGATACAACCAACGTGTTCCTCTAAGTAGCGGTCATTATGAATTATTACAAATTGGCTGATCGATAAATTAGGTAATCATATGGTTTATCATCTAAGCTGGGACACTTTCGAGAGCAATAGGGAGCACAACTAATGATTACGGCAGGACAAAGGTATAGTAAACAAGGTCTGTCCCAGGCAAATGGAAACCCTGGTGGCCCAGTGGTTAAGAGCTACAGCTGCTAAACAAAACGTCAGCAGTTCAAATCCACCAAGCGCTCCTTGGAAACCCTCCGGGGCCATTCTACTCTGTCCTATAGGGTCACTATGAGTCAAAATTGACTCAACTGCAACAGGTTTGGTTTTTTTTTTTGGTTTATCCCAGGCAGATAGAGAGACATAATTGCTTTACCAGTGAATACTTTGGAATCATAACGGATGACTATTTTTGGAAATCAGGTGACCTGAATCTCCAGGAATCTCCCAGTTGCCCAGCAAAATTTAATGGCTGTGTAATAGAGTAGAAAACCCAACTGTTTGAAGTCACCAGGCTTTGAGTCCCTCCAGGGTAAGAATTCTGTCTTTTTTCTTCTTTGAATCTCCAGTGCCCAGTTTGTAGTGGGTATTTCATATTCCTTTAAATTCATTTAACATTTAATTCAGCAAATATTTTTTTAAGCACCTGCCATATGCCAGGTACTCTTCTAGGAATTGCAGATGTAATAGTAAACAAGCCAAACCTGTTTGCCGCTTTTACAGAGTATACATTCCAGACGAGAGGGATAATAAATACGGAAGTAATCACATAAATAAAAACAAACGTGCTAAGCTCTATGAAGAAAATAAAACAGGATGGCATGATAAAGTGTAGTAGGGTGGGGATTAAACACAGTGGTTTGACACTGTCTCTTTAAGGAAGTTGAGTCTTCAATGATGATAGCAAGTCAGCCATGAAAAGGTCCAGTGGAAGGAAGTTCCAGGCAGGGGAACAGAGAGGGAAGGTTGAGTGGAGGGAAAGAGCTTGGTGTGTTTGAGGAACAGAAGGTGGGCCAGAGAGATTGGGGCTCACTGAAGGAGAGAAAGTAGGTAGTGAAACAGAAAGACAACAGGTAAGGGATGAATAATCGGACCTTGAAGACATGGTCATAGAATTTGGATTTAATTTTAAGGGCAATGTGAGGTAAGTCACCTGAAGATTTGAAACAGTGCAATGGCATTATTGCAAGCCTGGTTGAATGAATGAATAAATGAATGAATGGCTCAGGTCTGTACCTGTCACTCACCTAGCTGTGAAACTGTGGTGATATTGTTCATCTTCAATGAGAATACATTATTGGACCTAAATGATAACCTAACCAAGATCAAACCTTTTGCTGCTGAGTTGATTCTGACTCATAGCAACCCTGTAGGAGAGAGTAGAACTGCCCCCTAGGGTTTCCAAGGCTGTAATCTTTATGGAAGCAGACTGCCACATCTTTCTCCCTTGGAACAGGGTTCCAGTTGCCAACCTTTTGGTTAGAAGCTGAGTGTTTAACCACTGAGTCACCGGAGCTCGTTAAATGATACCTGAAGTCCTAGAAAGGCCTAAACTTTTAGATTGCAATGAAGTTTTCCAGCAGAAACACATTCATTTGGAAGATGTGAAAACCTATCTAGGGGAAATCACGCATTCTCTAATGTCCTTCCTTTTGCTATTCTCTTTGTCTTCCTATTGCTCTCTCTCAAATTTACCCCTGAGACCAAAAGAAGAAAAAGAAAAAAAAAATTCTGTATGGTTTGGTTAATAAATCAGGCATATTTAGTTGCCCTAAGAGGTGAAAGCTTAAAAATTCTTTTGTTTGTGGTTAACCCTTTACTTATTAGGGTGACTGTCCTCTCCATGGAAACTTCATCTCCTCTGACACAAAAAGGGCTAAATTCCAGGCCCAGAGAGAGGGCTAATTGAATGAGAGTCACATGGAGGGATAGTATAAGACTGATAAACAACAATAGTTCTGTGTTCTTTCTATGAGCGCTGGACTACAAGGTAGGAAACTTGGGGTGTGGTCCAGGCGAAACCAACGCACTGTCTGACCTTGGGCAAACACTGACTGAATTCTTTTCCTTCGTTTCATCCTTACACGAGGGTAATAATATCTGCCTCCTTTAAATTGCACAGTGGGGCTGCTTAGAAATCCACGTGCCCTATATTTTCAAAGTCTTCTTTAGAAACACACTACCGGCACCTCCTCTTTCAGGTTGAATGTATTTATGGAGCTCTTGACTCACAGTGGAATACGCAAGGCATGATCCTAATCGTTTATTCACGATTGCCTGCCTCTTTTCAGATTCCAGCAGAAGCGTTTGAAGGAGCAAGCGCATGGTGAGGAGAAAGCACAGGTCCTTCACAGGCATCATCAGTGGAGCAAAGAGGTGACATAAAAAACAAGGAAACATGCAGGATGCCTTCATAGGTATTCTCTTTGAGAATTCAATAAGATGGTTTCGAATATACGAAGTTCAATGTAAGAACAAGGGTAGAGCGTAAATATGTAACCTGATTTTCACAGGAGGAGAGTACTTTCACAATTGTTTCTTCTTTGAGGTGGTCAAAAGAGGGTGACCACTCACCCACTCTTACTAGCATAAACAAGATAGGGGACAATTTCTTGGGGAAAGAGGAACTGAGGAAGGAAGGTTCATAAAAGTCAGTGGATTGAGCTTGGTAGTTGGGAAGAATGGTTCTCTTGGAAGGAAATCTTTTCCTTTATTTTCTCTTAAAATTTTAATTGTTTTTTCCTGTCAAGAGCACTGCATTAAGCTCTCCAGGCTGTGTGGTAAAGGCACTTTAGTCTAAGCAGTTTAGTCTGTCTGCAGGATTTGGTCTTGTTTTTCCTCATTAAC